TGTCCCCGCCGTGCCCCGTGGAGCTGGCGTGGAACGCCGGCCCGGGGGCGGGCAGCAGCAGTAAGCGCGGGAGCCTGGGGTGAAGGCAGGAGGTGTTCGTCCTGGGATAGCAACGTGGTCATGGTGCGGGTCTCGCGTGGTTTTATTTATCTCTTTTTGAATGTTTTCTACGTGGACAGCTCTAGCTGAGGGCGTGCGGTTATACAGTGGAAATGCCCTGTTTCTGCTCCCATTCACTCTCACACCTTGCATTCTCTTGCTCTATAGCCTGGTCTACACTGGACATTGAGTTGGGGACTGGAGTAAAAGGAAGAAGAAAGTGGGCTTAGAGGCTTAGTGGCAGAAAGAAGCAGTAAATTCCTTCATTACTGGGCAGTGCTGGTAAAAAGAGTACATTTGTTAGCTGAAAACTCACAAACAACGGGGAAGGAAAAAACTTGTTTATTCATGCCCTGCCAGTTGGCAGATCTCTTTGTTTAGAGAGCATTCAGTCCCGAGTGTTGCTTGTTGCAAGCACAATATTTACTTAACTAACTTTCCCCAAAACAGTGCAGTCGCAGCTATGGCTTCGGAATACGTTTGTACCATTGTGTGAAGAGACTGTGTATGTCGTGATAGCTGTTAAAAAGAAAGAAAAAGATTAAAAAGGCAAAGTAAAACATCCTGTCACGATCTTACCTGCAGCATTATTGTTTTACCAAACCATTGGGGCCATTTTCTCACCAAAGGATATCTACTTAGTGCGTCAGCTGAGCCTTATTATAGCAGAGGGTGGATCTTCCACCCACAATGGATTTCCTCAAAATATTCCTCACAGTGTGAGGTTTTCCTATCTCTAGCTGTGCTGTGTACATCCTTCACTGTTTAGATGGTGAATTATTCGTGGAATGTCGGTGTTTGAGGATGTTGGTTTATACCTTCCCCATGCCTCTTTTTTTTTTTTTTTTTTTTTGTTACATATAGGGGGACACTGCAAATGACCGGCTTTGCTGCATTTAATCTGTTCTTATCTCTAAAACATGAATATCAAGCTGGATGTGTTGTGATCTGTGAAGAACAGGGGTAGGTGATGTGGTTGGGTACTGCAGCTCTTGTACTTTTTGCAATTTTTAAAAGGGACTGGGAACTTTAATGCCCCAACTCATGCATTTTTAAAAAAAAAAAGCCCACCTTCCCTCAGGGTTTGTCCTCTGAAGATAAAAATGCAACTTTTTTAAGGTAGCTGAGTGCTAGGAATAATTAGTCGCTTTTAAAAATTCAGATAAATGAATATAATGTATTATCTATATGTTACATATGTGTGTATGTGCAGATACACATCTGTGTTAGTGCCTCCCCATACCAGAAACGTTTTATGTTGTTGTTTTAGTATAAGGAGGGTATGCAGCTTGTAGACATAAGTTTGCAGTATAACATTCATTTTTACTTCCTCCGCTAATGTCAAAGAAGAGTTACTGCCTTAATCAGATTGTAAACGGAGCATGAAATTGTCATTTGAAGCCTTGTTGTGTTTCAGGACCGCAGCTCCTACTTGAACACATGATGTATTAACGCTTGCAGCAGCTTTTCCGGTGGGGGGGGGAAGAAAAAAAACCCCAAACGTTAAAACAGTTGTGGTTTTAAAAATGTACTATGTCTTCAAAATAAGTAAATTTAAAATGTGGCTCACCAGGCCACTGGAAAATATTTAGCTGGGCCTGTACACTAAAATGGAAAGTGGCTATGTTGGTTTTCACTTGGGTGGAAAGTGCCCTTGGCATAGAGCTGCACAGGGATTTATCAGCAATTATGTTTGGAGGATGGGGGGGGTGGGATTCAGTGGAGATGATTTAAAAAGAACTAACCAAAAATCTGGTTGAGACCAGATTTTCTGAAGGATCTGGGATTCTTCATTGTCTGCTTTAGGGATTGTTAAACCTCGGGGTGCTTCAAAAAATCTGGTCACTGACATGAACAGAGGGTTGAGCTGCTCTGAAATGCCACCCTAGTGTGCATATGAATTACTGGGAGTTTTAACTCCTCACGCTTTAAATAGCTCCTTACCTGGAGGGAAAACCATCTCTTACCAATCGTGTTGCACCCCCCTGCTCATTACAGCCATTTCTTATGTGGAATATGAACACGAGGAAAGTAATTAAAGTATTTTTAGCATTTTAAATGAAAAGGGCACTAGGAAAGATGACTGTAGTCTGTGGGGAGCAGACTGTTCAGGAGCCCTTTTAGAAAGATAGGCCAAATTTAGTATGTAGCTCTTGTTGTACAGTGTCATTGTAGTTCAGGTTGTATAATGGTGAAGTATTTTCAGCTCAGAGGCAACATCCCCTCACACTAGCAGGGAATGTGATCTTTGCATCCTCAGGTTTGCGGCTGTTGTGCTGCTTGTCTTGGTAGCAACGTAATTCCTCAGGTTGAGAGCAGTGGCAGGCCCAGATTTCTGCTGTTTCAGATGTCAGTTTAGAAATGATTGCCTACCTTAGCGTTGCCACCTTCAGGGTGTTGCTTCTACTGTGTGTGGGTTTTTTTTTTTAGGCAGAACACGAAGTTCTCTGTAAATATAGCAGTTGTGTCATGCACATGCACGCACTTCAATTTTACTGTGTCCCACGGCGTTCCTATTCTTAGTGTAGGAAACAGCGTAGCCAGCGTAGAGGGTATCTTCCATCAGGCTTTTGTGCTGAGGGCAACCAAGTACAGAGTGTGTGCAACAACTGACTTAACTAGACAGAGCCTTGTAACCTCCTGCTTTTTCCTCTGGGTGCTTTGGCCAGCGATAAGCAGGCGTGTGGATGAATTGAATTATGCTAGGAAGGAGCAAGGGCTGCTAGAGATAAATGAGATTCATAGCATGCTTTAAAGCACCTAATAAGAGATCCTAGTGAACGGTTTGTGGTAGGAAATTGCATGACTAATGATGAACTGCAACTGGAAAATCCAATCCTCTCCCTCCCCCATCCAGTTCAGCCCTGCCTCAGTGGAAGGGACCACGGCTGACAGGCAAGGGTAAGAGATGAACACCCGTTGCTTAGGGCTTAGATTAGGAAAGGCTTTATTGCTAATACCTAGAGCTTGAATTAGCACCAGGCTTTGGAAACAAACTGAATACACGTTTCCTGTCTTCAGAGTGGGAGGAGGAAGCTTTGGTGCTTAAAGGGTTACCTTTTGCTTTTCAGTCAGGTAGTAAATGCTGCTGCTGTAAATTGCCTTAGCTTAAAATTTGGCATGGTGAGTCATAAGACCTGACGTCTAGGATCTCTCATTTTCTAATCTTCTTTCATCTTCCCTTTACAGAAAAAGCTTTAATTGGTTTCTGGTTCAAGAAGAGGAGTTCTCAATGTCTTATTTGTATAGCTTGTTTAACAAATAACCCAAGCCTATTGAGATGAGGAGTGACAAGGGAGTGTCACTAGAATCTTTCACATGCTGCTTCAGGAATGAGAGCTGTTTCCCTTCCCCCAGCTTTTATGCATAAGCCTCCTGCTGTCATTATCAAGTTCAGACTGAGTAATTCCTTGGACCTTTTATGTTGCTGCGTTTTTTCCCTTTCCATGTTACCCCACTCTGAAATCCCTGACTTTGACTGCTGGCAAGTTACATCAATGTTATCTCTCTGTTGCTGCCAGCGTGCTGCTCCATGTGAACTGCTGCTGGTTGGGGAAATTCTCGCTGGTGTTCAGCGATATGTGTGTAGGTTTGGGTTGCAAGAATGTGTTCAGTTGGGCAAAATACTTTTTAGTCTGTATTTATTAGAAATTATATAGTTCTGTGTTGGCCAGTACACTAGTGACCTCTGAGAATTTTTAAATTTTTCCTTAAGCAATGGCCCCAGATGTGATGCTGTAACTCTAAAAGTTCATGTTTTGACCTGTTATTCTGAAAAAGCATTATAGTTGGTTTGGGGAGTTGGTTGATTTTGGCTTTTCAAAGCAGAGTGGTTTTCCTGAAATAAAAGCTCTGGGCTGCTGGGTTTCAGAGCACTTCTGCCACCTTACAGGTAGAGCTGGCCAGGGCATGAAGGTGCTGACTCAGTACCTGACCTGCCTGCATTCCTCTTTGTCTGTCTTTTTACTGTCAGTCCACAAGCCTGACAGTCATTACAGGAAATGCCTCATTCAGTTTTTTCCACCTCTTGCTCTGAGCAGCTTATCTCTATAGGATCACTTGTTGAGTACTTGCTTCATTCACACTCCTCCCTCTGTTTCCCTTGCACAGGAAGGATACATGACTTGTTGAAAAGAGAGAAGATGCTATGCTGGGGATACTCGTCTTTTGGACGACCTGGGATAGGTAGCAACCTCCAGGTCATCATTCCTGAACCGCAGGTGTATGGATTCATTCATGACAGAAATGTCAAGGAGGTGGCATGTGGAGGAAACCACTCTGTCTTCCTGTTGGAAGATGGGGAAGTGTATACTTGTGGCTTGAACACCAAAGGCCAACTGGGACATGACTGTGAAGGAAGCAAGCCAGGTAAGTCCACTTTTTACATGCACTTCACACTGTCTTGAGGCTGGTGGGCTGAGAAGATTATGGAAGCTGCTTTGTGTTGATTGCTCTGCAACTGGAGTAGCTGACAGGGCTGAAGATCATATGTAATAACACAGTAATGATGCCGAATAATGCTTGCTGGCTCTGGAAAGCTAAAGCTGAGCAGCATGGGTGGGGAGGTGGGTCTGCTCAGTTTGTCTGGGAAATGCATCACATCAGAGGTGAATGCAGATGGTCTCAGGGCAGCTTTTGTGATTATGTTGCCTTTTTATGAAGGAAAGAGGGCCATGAGTCACAACTGTCTTCTGCCTTGTCTTTCCAATTGCATTGCATCCCTGTGCCTACTCTTGTTCATTTATTGTTGGGAATTTTGTCATTTACATTGAAGAGAAGAGATTACTCAAGTATTGTTCTGAGTGCTGTAAAAGCATGTACTCTGAGAAGCATCTTTTGGGCTAGACTGCCATTTACCTACAAAATAAAACAGGCATAGGATGATAATGAAAACGGAAGCTTCACAGGGAAGAAGATCATCAGAGCTAGAAATGGATCTCATGAATGCTGAAGTGTAGACCTCCAGCAGCTAGGTTAATCCTGCCTTCAGCTACGCAGGGATGGGGTGTCAAAGATCATCTTCTTTATTCTCCATTAGAGTGGGCCTATGAATGAAGCCATGTCTGATAGGAAGCCAAGATGTATGTGTGGGGCGTAGGGTCCTGAGCTGTTGGAGATGAAGATGACAGAAGACTGTCTGCAGGCGTCTGAGGGAGAGAACTGCAACGGGTGGTCTTGCAGCTGCATTTCTTTAGCCTCTGTGAGCAGGGCAGTGTGAGCTGGGGGTCTCATGGTGTTACTGCCTTACGGTTTGATCCCTGCCCAGCTCTGGAAGTGGTCTGCATGTCCCGCTGGGAGAGGCAGTGGCACAAGGCTGACAGTCCCCTCCAGGCAGCCTGTGGAGAGCCCCTGCTGGACTTGAGAGATGCTTACCGTGGCCTGCAGAGTAGCTTGGCTGTCTTTGAGAGTAACAGCAAAACATGAAAAGATGCAGGTTGAGGGGGGTCTTGCACCTTTTGAAGGCTGTATAAAAATGTTGGATGACTTCAGCGGGGTGGTGTGATCTCCTTCCTGCTGCCCAGGTCTGTGCTTCTAAGAGGAAACTCCCTTTTATCTCTCTTTGTGTGTGTGGCTTATGCTGCCGGTGTGCTAAAAGCTTCAATTAATGTTTTCAGAATGTGATCAGTTGTTTATCCAGAGGCTGTTAGTTCCCAGGATGATGTCTGCTTGTGAATAAAGTTCTGTGACTTTGCAACATACTGAACACGGACCTAACCCAGTTCTCCACGAAAAGCTTGCAGGATTTAGTAATGACTTCCAGTGGGAGGAAAGTTGTTATATTTACAGTGAGTGCTTTTGAAGACTTTGCCTCCCTTTCTTCCCTTACTATGTATTTAATTTTTTTTCTCTTGTTGTGCTGCCCATTTACACATATCTGTAGTATCAGTAGGATTCAATTTTGTTTCTCATTCATGCTACTTACAAAAACATCCAGCAGTGGCATAGAAGTGTGTTTCAGTAATTCCTTTTAGAGAAATCCTTTAGAGGGCACCTTTTGAAATGAAAGAAACCTTTTAATTACAAAGTTGTGTTCACTGTCACATCAGCTCAGCTTTGTGGATATAAGGCAGAGACAGGCTAGCAGCTGGTGACGTGATTCCTGTGCCTCTCAACTACAAGGAACAGAAATTACTGGGGGAGTACATGTCATTGGATGAGTATCAGTCAATAGAGGTTTGTTTTCTGGAATTACCCTTCCCTTGGATTTTACATTGTGGTTATAAAATTAATATTTCAGGTGTCTTAAGAAGTTTAACTACAAGAACATGCCCTTCAACTAGAAGCTAACAGCCTGTGATGGTTTCCAACTCCCCAGGTCTGAGCTAGGGTAACACCAGCTGTGCCACTCCTGTGGGCTCCACCATCTCCCCACATCCTCACGCTATTCACTGTTTCATTCCTCCTTTGAAGTCGGTTAACAAGCTACCTGAGGAGTCCATCCCTCTCAGGAATGGATACTTGGCTTTGTTAACACACGGGAGTGATTGTCTTTCCTTGTTTCTTTTTCCTTTCCCCTTGAAACAGTCTACAGTTTGTCTCTGCAATCACTTGGCAGGGTTGCAGAAGGGGAGACACTGTTCCAGTGTTCTCTCACCATGACTGTAGTTAATAAAGCTTGTCTGACATGTCCTAATTTTTACTTGTGGTGTTATGCACTCAGAGTCCCCAGAGTCTCTGACAATACCTTGGGAGAAGCAACTTGTCAGTCTTAGTTATGAAGTATTGAGCCTGCTGTTCTGCAAAATCAGTCTGAGTTTATGTTAATTTTCTGAGCATCATCAAGTGTTAACATAGATTATGCCTCTAATGGGAATTGATGATTTTGTATGGCAGTAGTTTTAGGAAACAGATTTATTCTCTGTAACTATATCTAAATTTCTATTTCAGCCCCATAATTTCACTTGGATATTTTTTCTTCAGGTCTGCTGTGATGTCTTGACTTCCTGTTATGATTCTTACATGTGTTTTATCTGCATGTACATGCATATACCTGGGAACAAAACACAGACCCTGATACCTAACTCAAGTAAAGGCTCATTAGAGGTTTAGAGGGTGAAATAATTAGCTGGTGGTTAGCCATTTGCAAAGCTTTAGAAACATGCTTGAGTCCAAGATGTAGAACTTCTTTTCTGGAGACTTGTTCTCTGGGAGTCATTTGGACTTCATTTGACTTCTGCTAGTGAGAAAATGTAGTCTTTGGTAATTAGTGTCTTGAGAGTTACAAGAAGACATCTGGTGCCAAATTTGCCTTGAACTCTTCCTCTGGTAACACACAGCAGACAAACCCATGCTTTTACCAAATTTCCTGTCTGGATGCAAAATGTACAGGGTAGCACTGCTTCTGTGTGTGTTGTGGAATCTACGTGCTCATAGCTTGGAATATCGTTACGTTCAATCTCTTTCAAGAAGCAGGGAAAAAAACCACCAAAAAAAAAAACCAACCCAAAACCAAAACCCCAATACACTATCCAGTTCCCATGGATTTCTCAGAACTCAGTGGCCTTTCTTTTCAAACATAAATATATTTGTCCTGAACTTCAGCATGGGGTTACAGTGACCAGAGACCTTCGTGCTCACTGTGGCATGCCTGATCATAAACCCTGCGACAGCTGAGAATTCAGATGTGCGACCTGCTTGGAAGGCCCTTTTAGCTGCTTGCTGGTGGGTGAGAAGTCAGCCAGGGAGGGCCCCGGTTGCTTGGGAGGAGAGGTGGCTGGGCTTATGTTTGGCAGGAGGTGTGGAAGTGATCTGGTTGCAGATGAGGAGGTATGACTGCCGCATTGAATAGGTAAGGTTGAGGGCTGCTATTCCAACACTTGCCGAGTGCTGTAGTCTGGGAGAGTCCTGCTCGGTGTTCATCCCCAGAGCAGGGCCTCGTGCTGGAAAAGATGTAGCAGAGGCACGACAGCCCAGTGCGTAGGCATCGGCCCTGCCAAAGCCTGGGAGAACGTGCCTGGAAGTGAGTGCTGAGGGATCTGTGTGAAGGGATGGAGCCATGTGGGGACAGAGGCCCTTGCGGGGTCAGGCCTTCGGTGCTGGCCTGCAGCAGCGGGCTTCAAACCAGAAAAATAATAAAGGAAGGATTAGGGCATAATTTAGGTTTGGGCACCTATTGTTAATGTTATTTTTAACAAGTGCCAGATTATTAAACTTGACACCCCTTGCAGAGTTGGGTATGTTCATTTGTACTCATCCCTTTTCCTCCTTTGGTTGCTTACAGGATCTGACCAAATTATTTAGGTTGTAACGCCCTCACTAGTGATGCAGCAACACCCGACAACGTGGATTTGTGTTACGGTGTGTCTGTCAGCTGAATTGGTGCAATTTGGGCTTTGGGATGATTTTGGGATTCAAAGTTAGAGGGCTAGATTTAAAAGTGGCTTAATTTAGAAACAATATATATAGTTGAATGAGAAATAAAATCAAAGGAAGTGTTTTCCTTTCGATATGTTAAATGTGCGTGCATTGTGTTGAATAGTTTGGCTGAGGGCTCTGAATATGCCGGATGTTTATAGTGGGCTGTTGTAAATTTGCATGGTCTGGATCATGGGAACTGACTTCCACCAATATTCTCTGAGAATGCAGGATTAGGAGAGCCTAAACCGGGGAGAGAGAAAGGCTCTCCAGGAGAGCTTAAATCAGTAGAAATCTGGTTTCTTGTCAGTGAAGAGATTCATAGTCTGAGCCTGAAAAGTCTGTAATGTGTTCTCAGGTGTAACTCTGAATTGCTGTCTCTATAAACACATGTATTATTACAACCACCAGATTTCTCTTTTGATTTCACTTTGAGGGGTGAAAACCAGAGTGAGCCCAGACATCCAAGATACTGTTTTGGTTTTTTTAGAATCAGTGCAGCCTATTTTACTGAGGATATGAGGGACCATCTTTTTGCCCTTTATCTGGGGATTTGTAGGGCAGTTTAGCAACCTAAATGTGCATTTATGTTGGTCGCATTTGTTACTCCTGTGTCACATGTGCTATTCAGAGTTTTCTGAAGGTGCAACAGAAAGGCTGTCTGCACACCTGGCTTGGAAGGAGTGTGAAATCCCGTCATTGGCATGGTGTGTGGCACTACTGACTGTCCCCTCTCCTGCAACCAAACTGAAGCTGAAAGATGGACTCAGGATGGGTGGGTAGCTGTGTGTGGTGAGGTGAAGGGAGAGTGCAGGAAAGAAACTGGAGGTGATAGATGCAAGTTTTCTGAATGCCCCAACCGTTTTGTACTCGGAATGCTTGTCTGTGCTGGACAAAACGGATGACTTCAGCTGTATGTGTAAGTAGGGTTGAGAGTCCCAGCTGCTAGGAGAGATTTCAGTAGTTGGGTAGTTGTTGATGCTGGAAGTTCATTGTTCTTGTCTTCAAGATGT